GGATCCGATTCAGGCCTTGCCACCGTCCCGGAGGGCGGCAGCGCAGCTGAATCTTCCTCTCCAGAGAGCTCTCCCTCCGATGCAGTGATCGACATCCGGTCGTCGGGAGGAGCACCGAAGGATACAGCTGGTACGCTCTTTGAAGAAGGCCCAGCGCGTTCCTTTGGCGGCTGGCTGCCGCCAGGACGAACACTAGATCGCGGCAGAGGCAACGGAGCTCCGCCCCTCTGGAGGAAACGGAGCTTGGCCCGCAGCTCCGAGATGGTCATCTTCCTGCAATGGGAACATGACTCATCTGTACTGAAAGGGAACACATGTTTATTCGCAGGTCCTACAGTACATGCTGGAAATCTTTTTTCTCCTGATGCTAAGTGAACTGAAGTCTATTGCTTTCCCTGATGCTCGACAGTATTTAGCATCATGGCTTTATACGATCTTAAAGTCCTGGAAGTGTATTATGTAGATAAGCACTGCTGATGTGAACACAAACACACATTTCTCCTGTCTTCACTGGTGTAAGACATCGACTACAACACCATTCTAGCAGACGGAGCTGTCTAACCGACAGGAAACAGTCACAACTGAGACTTTAAAATTCATGATATATTCATCTCCATATACAAGTCTGATATATATTTCCATAAAAAACATAATAGCATAATTTTCTGTTTTTCATATATACAGAGAAGTTGATTAATATCTTGCATAACCAAAGGGGAGAAAGCCTTATACAGTAAAATGCCAATGGCACACCCAAAGGAGCAGACTAGCACTGACAGACTACAGGGCCAAGTACACCAGTTAAGTACGACCACCACAAAGACTATATAACCGGGATTACTGGGAAACGATTGATATGATGAGATTTCTCCTTAACGGCTGCTATGCGTTCCACGCGCTCAGAGTTCAGAATTCATCTTTCTGTCCCCCTCTATTGCACGGTGTCCAAGAAAGCTCTGTTGTTGTTCAGGACAGGGGAAGGGGGAAGGGGGAAGGGGGAAGGTTAACCCTTCCCTCATCCTTTCAAGGTGTCCCCAGATTTTGGCACATTTCATTCTCGATAGGTCGCAAGCATATGTCCATACAGGTAGTGGGAATGCACTGGCAGGGAAATGAAGTGAAGTCATAATTATAAAATGTGACATTTAAATACCTCATAATCACACAAACTAAATATATACTTGAATAAAAGCGGTCATGAGTTCATGTTCATGTAATCCATGAGACTGAATAAATATAAATGAAGGGACATTGAAAATTGAAATAAAATAATGGAGTGCAATAATCCAAACCAGGATATTCTTTATGGATGTTAGGCTGCTGCTATGCAGTTGCAGCATAGCAGATGATGTTCTGATTGGTTACTAGGTGGCTCCCAGTGTGTTGCCTGGAACTTTCATTCAATTCTGTTTTACAGAAGTTTATGCTACTTAAGCTTTGCATTCATACACTTGAAAAGAAAACTGACCATTCATGCACTGGACTAAAAGTAAAAAAAAATAAAAAATCAACCAAGAAATGAATCTGAGCATCATTAAACATCTTCACCTGAGCTGAGAGGCTGCAGTGAACAGCTTACCTGTTAGTGTGAGTGCAGTGATTAGTAAAAGCAAGTTAGCAGGAGTAAGTCCTGACAGCTGAGGGGTCTAGTCTCTGCGGGGCCGGGGGACCGGCTGCTGAACCACAGAGACACAGAAGGGAGAAAACATGCAGTGACAAACTGAAGGACCCTGACCTGTGCCATTAATATTAGTTACTTTAAACACATGCTTTCACAGTCAATATGCATACATGTTTTGCAATTAGTGTTGTATGATATACTGTAAAAGTGTTAGCAATGGCACTACTTGTTAGTACTGTACTGCAACCATTAAAAAGCAACGTGCTAATGGCAATGTTGAACTCATTTCAACCTTGTAAAACACCCTGCCCCCCTTTCTACCTTCTGGTTGCAGCTGTTTCTTGGGTACAGCCATAGAGGGGGGAATGGACATGGTGTTCAGGTGGAAGCCAGCGGGAAGAGTCTCTAAGGACCCTGGCATCATACCCAGGCCCTGGCCATCCCTCGGCCTGAAGCGCTTACGCCACGATGGAGACCTTCGGAATGACTTGTCGTCACTCTATTGAAAGGGATGACATCACAATAACTGGGCTAAGATACTGTTCAAAACTATGACTGCACCAACATCTGTATTATTTCATATATGTGACCTTGGACCACAAAACCAGTCATAAGGGTCAATTTTTCAAAATTGAGATTTATACATCAACTGAAAGCTGAATAAATAAGCTTTCCATTGATGTATGGTTGGTTATGATAGGACAATATTTGGCATCTGGAATCTGAGGTTGCAAAACAATCAAAATATTGAGAAAATCGCCTTTAATGTTATCCAAATGAAGTTCTTAGCAATGCATATTGATGAAAAATTACAATTACAAAATTACGTTTTGATATATTTACAGTAGGAAATTTACAAAATATCTTCATGGAACATGATACTTAATATCCTAATGATTTTTGGCATAAAAATAAATCAATAATTTTGACCCATACAATGTATTTTTGGCTATTGCTACAAATATACCCCAGCGACTTAAGACTGGTTTTGTGGTCCAGGGTCACATATGGCAACAGAGAAGTGAGTATCACAGCTAATTTCCTCGTTCTAAAGGGAACAAATGTCAGCATTAATGATGAGCAGTGCAATCTTGGCTACTTCAATGAAGGCTCTGGTTGCAGACAAGCACTCCCAATTCACAAATGTAAAAGCTACATTTTTAATGCCATTTTGCATTTTTATTATAAAATTAGCATTTGTATGCTTTAAAGAAAAAGCGGTTACACAGATAAATACATAAATATGCTAGTCAAATTCTCAATGAAAAGCGTCTGCGTCTTGCGGTTCGGGTCCCACTGCTGCCGAGGCACAGCCTAGACTCAGATGATTGGTTCCTGATGTATAGATGAAAATCCACCCAATCAAATTTCTTAAAATGCCTTATCCTGTAATCATAAACGACTGATTCAAAAGACAACAGTTAAAAAAAATCATTATTTATATTACCATGACAGTTTTTAGCTACATACTTTTGGCTTCATTAGAAAACAAACGTAAATAGACTGCACAGAGTGCATATGACAAATTTACTTCTAGTGACCTCTAAAAAAATTCAGAATTTTTTAGCTGAAATTCAACCAGAATCCAAATGTTCACCAACCTCTTCCAGGCGTCGATCCGTTCCCAATGCTAAGAGGTTATTAAATTCCCTCTCCAGAATCTGCCTGGCCTGGAAGACACAGAGATACAGGACTTTGGAAAGACCCCCAGTATGCTGAACCTCCATATCAGCTGAGTGAGTTTTCTATGCTAGAACATCAAATAAGTGCTCCCCAAGAATGAATGAATGAATACTTTATTGTCATTGCACGATTTGTCAAACGAGATTCAATTTGCAACTCCTTGTGGTAAACAAAAAAAAAACATACAAAGAAAGATTTATAAATACATCAAATACATGGCAAGCAGGTATGGACCTTTAAACGGCTTTTTAACATCTGTGTGCTCCTCACCTGAGTGTTCTGCATGGGGATCTGTAGAATGAGGGCCAAGCTGCTGAAGTCAAACGTCTCATCCAGGGCAATGAGAGCTCCATGTACACCGCTTTCCAGCAGGTTATTACTGTACTCTTTCAGACCGATATTCAGAACCCACTGCATCACGTGATCATTGGTCCACACCAGGGTATCTGGGAGAGACAACAGTACATGCATTTGCTATTTCCTCAACTTGACACAAAATGGCTCATTGGTTTCATATTAAACTGATTCAAATGACTTCCAATATAGAGCTATAATATTTCTATCATATACAGTTTCCAAAGCGGAGGTTCGCGAACCCCTGAGGATTTGTGAAGGAACTGTGGGGGTTTGTGAGTTGATGAAAAGGTGGTATCCAATGTAAAATTAAAACAAGTAAATGGAGCTGTACAATGATCTTATTATAGCATAGTGCAAATGCAGTGACTGAATTAAAAAAAATTGCATAATCTGATGATCTGCATATCTCAAAGTGAAACGCTGCACTGTATTCTGTGTCTAAGCTTCACAGTAAATGTCGCAAACTTCATCTCTTCATGTGCTGCAAGTTCAACATGCATTTAGGAACGTAATGTGTGCTATGTTCACTTTAGTTACATATTTGCATAATTTTCATCATTTTTGTTGGCAGAAGTTTAGAGTATTACACAGATAAAATAAGTTTTAGATTTGAAATGTTTGAAGGTTTTAATGTTTGAAAGTCAAGATTAGTATGGTAACTTGTATTTTAAAATAAAATTACTATAATATTATATTTTACAGTACAATTGTAATTTACAACACCAATTTCTGTCTTCATTTTTGTAAATCACAGTTAAACAACAACAACAACAACAACAATAATAATAATGATAAAAAATGTCAAAATTTAAAAAATCCAAAAAGTCTATAAAGTCAAATTAAAACACTTACTTAAAAAACATTAAATATTCTATTAACTTGCATGTCATGTGACCATTAACCGATATCAGAGAACCATGAATGTGAATGTGTCATTACATGATTGAAATATTAACTTAAAATCTCAGGGGATACTTCAAGGAACTCCTGTTTTAAAACATATCAAAATATTGAATTCTCAAAAACATGTATTGAGATATAGTTTCCGTGATTTAAAATGACTCATACTGTGATATAAGACTTTAATCAGACCACCTCTAACCCATGCAGAAAACATTAATGAAGTGAATCTTCGAAGGGGTCTGTGTTTATAACAGTACTGGAAATATCAGTGTTTAGGTAACAGTATATGTGGAGTGTGATCATTTTGCACAGCTGGCTAGCCTGCTTTCTGTTTCTACAATCCTGTGCATAATTTGCTTATGTGTGTGTGTGTGTGCGTGTGTGTGTCTTAAGCAGTTGGTGCGTGTGTCTTTAGCAATGAAGATGAAAGATTTTAAAAAGCTGTGACAGCTGTGTCAAGTTCATGTGTTATGCTGAAGTTCAGCCAGGCGCCGCCCCTTTAAATGGATTTGACACTAAAAAGCTCAGCTGTTGACCTCATGCATTCCTGCCACCAAAATGCAGATAACAGGTACGGCCACTAGATAGTGCTCTTCCCTTCGTAATTTAGAAGTATTGAATCCAGAGAGTGCATTGATAATTTCTCATACCTTTGATGTCATGTTGAAAATCCTCTCTTCTTCGCTCCAGCTCCTTCCTGTCATAGTTCAGCCTTTTTAAGCACATGATGCCATAATGCAAACTAGCCCTGTCGGGATGTAATGAATATAGCATTCCATACAAAGTCTGGTTCACACTGTGGTAGTTTAAAATGAGCAATCACTGCAATCATTTACCGGTGGAAGCTGTCCACCATCTTGAGATGTGTCCGCAGGTCTTTCTTAGTTAGGTGGTCCAGCATACGAGCATCCACTAAGCACTCCATGAAGTAGCTGCGGTACTGAGGCAGGCCGAGACTGGGCAGCCACTCGTTCCCAATCCACTCATGGTTCATGTCACCATATGCTAGTGTCTGAGAAAAAAAGAGATATTATTTTACTGTGCCTCTATCAAATGAATCTTACATGGGTTTAGTTCATTCATTTTAATTCTATCTTATACAGAGACCCATAAATGTAATAAATTTATTAGTATTATTTTATAAAATAAAAAATAACAATATTTGTAGTTATCTTATATACATTTACATTATATAATATTATAATACTAAATTGTAATATAGTGTTAATAATATTACTAATTTATTATTATATAATAATTCATTATTTTTAATAATATATTGTAATAATATAATAATTTAAAAATGCATTTTGGCCTATAAAAAGTAATATCATTGATCATAACTACCCAATTTTACCAAAATCGTTGTATTCCTTACATATGTGACCCTGGACCCTGGATCTTAAGTCGCTGGGGTATATTTGTAGCAATAGCCAAAAATACATTGTATGGGTCAAAATTATAGATTTTTCTTTTAAGCCAAAAATCATTAGGATATTAAGTAAAGATCATGTTCCATGAAGATATTTTGTACATTTCCTACCGTAAATATCAAAACTTAATTTTTGATTAGTAATATGCATTGCTAAGAACTTCATTTGGACAACTTTAAAGGCGATTTTCTCAATATTTTGATTGTTTTGCAACCTCAGATTCCAGATTTTCAAATAGTTGTATCTCGGCTAAATATTGTCCTATCCTAACAAACCATACATCAATGGAAAGCTTGTTTATTCAGCTTTTAGCTTATGTATAAATCTAAATTTTGAAAAATTGACACTTAAGACTGGTTTTGTGGTCCAGGGTCAAATATACAGTACAACTGCAGAAATTTGCATTACAAATTTGAATTTTCTGAAAATCTAACAAAGACTGTAATTTTTTCCCCGACGCCATAAACATACCAAGCTAATAACGAACTTTTAAATTTAAAAGAAAGTGAAGAGCACACAAAAGAAGTCACTGGAAGGCTCACCTGAGCCCAGCTTCCTTCGTCATTCTCCTATCAGTCAGCGTGTTAGAGCACAGAGGAGAGTGTTAACAATGCTCTCTTCCAGCTAAATAAGCTCAGTCCAGTCAGAGTAGATGAAGTGCACATCAAGCAACAGCATCTGTGGTTGTTACTGGGTAACATTTATTGCAAATGCGGTTAAATATGAAATAATTTTGCAAAGCGACAGGACAACAATCACACAGAAACATGCAAAAAGGTTTAATAAGCGCACTCTTTGGGGGGGATGGGGGTGGATTCAGGGGCAGCAGGCTGGGGGTTGTGAGGGCTGCGGAAGCGTGGCATATGCATGGCACCGCAGGCACAAGGGAGTCACCCAGATGGACTAACCATTTTGGTCGAGGTTGCCATGTTTTCCATCTCCTCGTGAGTCACCCACACATTTCCGGAAGACTGAACAGAGACAAAGAGGCACAAACACACACAGATAAATGATCACAAACGGCACAGTCCTCATAAACACATTTACAGCAAAATCCCTTTAAGGCAAGTTGGTCCAGTTGGCAGTCATGTTACTAACACCCCCAAGGCAATTATTTCAATGTATGTAATAGATGTACAGGTGCCTATTTTAACCTGAATTGGGACCAAAATCACCAACTTATTAATGTTTAAATAAAACAAAACATATTTTATATCTATATTTTTTTGTTAAGAAAAATTATTATAAAGATGATTTAATTAATACAATTATTTTTATATAACTATTTTATTTCACTAAAAATGTAAATACTAAGTATAATAATAACTAAAATTATTATACAAAGATTATAATTTATTTTATAATAATTAAAAAATTCTTACATTTATATTTAAATGATTATAATTACTATAAATTGTATAATTATAAATAATTCATTATTTGTAAATTAATAATGCTAAATAAAATAAAATACATTTATATAACAATATATTACATATATATTTTACACAAATTATAATACAGATTATTTAATTTATATATATATTTAAAAAAATATATATAATTTCTGTATATAAATAATGATTAAAATAATAATGAAATAAATAATACAATTACTATAATTGTATCAATTATTTTAATTAATTATTATTCTAAAATAATAAAATAAATTTTACAACAATATATTAAATATATTGTTTTACACAAATTGCTATTATGAAGATTATTTCATTATAAAATAATAATTAAAACACAAAATTATTATGATTTTATAAAATTACTATAATTAATTCATTATTAATAATTATTTAAAAATAAAATACATTTATCTCTAAACCATAGCAATGAGACAATGACAGAGGACTAGCACTGACTAACTTAAGATTCATATTTGTTTTCCGTTTGAGACTGTATATGTGAAAATTAGCAGTTTAAGGTCAGAGCTCTTACAGTGTGTGAGGTGAGAGGAGCTGACGGACTCGTCAGTGACACCATTTCTTGAATGGCTAGCCTCAGCTTCAACCGATGCAGTGGGTTACTGATGCCGATCTCTCGCTGAATCTCCGTGTCTGATAGTGCTGACATGATGGCGCCGCTCTTCACGTTGGCACGACACGCCGCCACGTACCAAGCTGGCATGCCCACCCACAGCTGGAGGATGTCAGAGAGAAGACCGTCAAGATGCATCTTCATTATCTCCATCATCATCAGAGCGAGTAAGTAATTATCATAATTATTGTTATCCGTATCCCCCCCCATGATTTGTGTGATTATAATCATGGAGATCATGAGTGCTGTGCTCATTACTGCACAGTGGGAGGGATGGTGTCTGATGTCTTTGTACCTCGAGCCAGGAGACCACAGTTGGGCCGTCCCACTGAGCAAAAGGAAGCCCTTTCCTCCTAGCATCCTCCAGCAGTTCATGTCTGAAAGCAGACAAAGAAAGGTCAGAGCTTAGAGGAAATATAACCCCAGTCACATCAAACTCACATCAGTCTGAACATATGAAGCATACAGCGAAGTGGTTAAACAATATGGGGATTTTAACATCAATTCTGGCTGATATACACTACCATTCAAAAGTCTGGAGTCATTAAAATGTATAAATGTTTTAATGTTATTGATAGTTTATATTTAGCATGAAAGTGGACCTAGATTAAAATCAAATCAAATCAAAATAAATAAATAAATAAAATATAATATTTTTTTATTATATACACTAACATTTAAAAGTTTGAGCTCTGTAAGATTTATTTTTCTTACCAAGGTTGCATTTATTTGATAAAAAAAAATATATTAATAACATTAATATTGTGAAATATTTTTACAATTTAAAATAACTGTTTTCTGTTTTAATGTATATTAAAATGTAATTTATTTCTGTGATGGCAAAGCTGAATTTTCAGCAGCCAATACTCAGGTCTTCATGTATTTATTAACTTATTTTTTTATATTTATTTAATTTTTAAATACATTTTATCCATTTTTATTAACTTATTTTCATTGTATTGGAGAATAGCACTAGGCTATTCTCCTAACATCGTTTACTTTATTAGATAGGCTATCCAATTTCTTTTCCTCATCTAACACCCAAACAAGAAGCTCATTTTGTTCTTAGAACAGTGCCAAAATGGACACACACACACACACACACACAAATCCACGTGGCAGGTGCTAATAAGGAAACCTATTTTTTCTGTCACACTAATGGTCAGGGGACAGAGATAAGACGAGGACATGCTCTACAAGATGGTAAAGTACACTTAAATGAGGCCATGTTATTAGTCTACTATTAAGCGTTATTTGTAACTTGTTTATCTGCAGGAAATGGCACTTTGCCATCCAATTGATTGGCCATTTGCTTTAATTGAACTGTGTAATTAGGTAATAGATTAGATTAGGTCAGATTAGTGAATGTCTCAGGGTGATTTGATGGGCGTCAGGGTGAAGGATCTATATGAGTGAGAATCACAGAGTGATAACAAAGCAGAGAAGACCTACTTTTTCTTCATCCTGCGGTCTCGCTCTGCTTGTGTGCCCAGTTTGCTCAAGGTCATGGTATCTCCAATGACCATCTCGAAATCTCACGTGTCACAACATATTAAAATACAGTTAGTTAAGGAGTATGCAACCTTCATTTGTTTAGATCTCTGTAAAGGTAATGAAAACCAGACATTTCCTGCACGGAATGTGTGCATGTGTTTGTTTCATGATACCTGGAATGACAGGTGGCGTCACCTGGCCGTCCTTGCTCAAAGGCTGATCTAAACGTGCTTTTTCCTTCTTGCCAAAGAGACGGCCAATAGAGGACTTTATGCCCTTCTTTTTGTTGCCCCTAAGCAGAGAGAGAAAGAGAAAGTGAGAAAAAGAGAGACATTGTGTGACTTAAAGCATCTTAAAGTGATAGTCCACCCATAAATGAATATTCTGTCATCATTCACTCACCCTCATGACTTTCCAAACCTAAATGACTTTTTCTTCTGTGGAACATAGAACATTTTTTGAAGAATGTTGCTTATTAAACAGTTTCGGTACCCACTAACTTCCATTATAAGGACAAAAAATGTAAATATTGATTAGTTACCAACAGTCTTCAAAATATCATTAGTGTTCTGCAGAATACAGATTTGGGTTGACATGAGAGTTAGTAAATGATGACAATTTTCATTTTTGGGTGGACTATCCCTTTAAGGCCTGCAGAAACAGTAACAGTGGTGAGGCCTGGTGCCCTTAATAACTGCTAATGGTAAAGTACACTTAAATGAGGCCATGTTATTAGTCTACTATTAAGCGTTATTTGTAACTTGTTTATCTGCAGGAAATGGCACTTTGCCATCCAATTGATTGGCCATTTGCTTTAATTGAACTGTGTAATTAGGTAATAGATTAGATTAGGTCAGATTAGTGAATGTCTCAGGGTGATTTGATGGGCGTCAGGGTGAAGGATCTATATGAGTGAGAATCACAGAGTGATAACAAAGCAGAGAAGACCTACTTTTTCTTCATCCTGCGGTCTCGCTCTGCTTGTGTGCCCAGTTTGCTCAAGGTCATGGTATCTCCAATGACCATCTCGAAATCTCACGTGTCACAACATATTAAAATACAGTTAGTTAAGGAGTATGCAACCTTCATTTGTTTAGATCTCTGTAAAGGTAATGAAAACCAGACATTTCCTGCACGGAATGTGTGCATGTGTTTGTTTCATGATACCTGGAATGACAGGTGGCGTCACCTGGCCGTCCTTGCTCAAAGGCTGATCTAAACGTGCTTTTTCCTTCTTGCCAAAGAGACGGCCAATAGAGGACTTTATGCCCTTCTTTTTGTTGCCCCTAAGCAGAGAGAGAAAGAGAAAGTGAGAAAAAGAGAGACATTGTGTGACTTAAAGCATCTTAAAGTGATAGTCCACCCATAAATGAATATTCTGTCATCATTCACTCACCCTCATGACTTTCCAAACCTAAATGACTTTTTCTTCTGTGGAACATAGAACATTTTTTGAAGAATGTTGCTTATTAAACAGTTTCGGTACCCACTAACTTCCATTATAAGGACAAAAAATGTAAATATTGATTAGTTACCAACAGTCTTCAAAATATCATTAGTGTTCTGCAGAATACAGATTTGGGTTGACATGAGAGTTAGTAAATGATGACAATTTTCATTTTTGGGTGGACTATCCCTTTAAGGCCTGCAGAAACAGTAACAGTGGTGAGGCCTGGTGCCCTTAATAACTGCTAGACTAAAGGCATCACTTATGATAGGCATCACTATCACTACAATGATAAAAATCCATTCACTCCTTTTTTTTTAATCCCCCCAAAAAACTAAAGTCTCAATTATCAAGTCGTTTTGAATTTCTGAGCAGTATGACGTCATACTGCTTAGGCCCCGCCCACGACCGGTGACGGACTGTCCCGTATTAGCATATTTCCGCCCTCAGCCAGTTGTAAGCTGTCTGCCATTTTCTCCGCGCTCGAGCAGCTGTAGCGACAACAACATCTCGTAAGCAATGCGGGTGTTTTGTAGTTGGGATGTAAAAGTGAACGCAAGAGTCTTAATTTTCTCCCGACATCAGAGCCACTGAGGATGCAATGGATTAGTTTTGTTTTTGATGGTAACGCACCACAGAATACACAAAAAACGGAAGAGAAAGTTGGGGTGAGCAGTAGCTCATTATCATTTAAAGAGACATGCACTGAAACATTTAAAAAAGGTGTGTGAACAACGCCTCACACTGTATAACATGCATGATCATTTCTGTTTGTAATCTTTTAATCAGACTAACTGCCTGCCTCGCTGAGAAATGTTTTGTTATTCCTGCACTCTTATTTGGTTCTATCGAAGTCAATTCAATTGTAATGAAATCACTCCTCCCGTGACATCACCATAAATTAGTGTAAAGCATTAAATCTTGACAGAGCTGGGCTGCTCTGAGATGCAGTATAATTCCCCAACAGTGATGTGGGAGTAGGAAGGACAGAGAGAGACTGAAAAAATGCACATCAAGCTTGATTTCTTGCTTTGATTCAAGTCAATGTGTATTAGTCTGAGTGTGCAGGACATCTTCTGAATGCCTTATTTAAATTAAATTAGCCAGAATACAAAAGTGTGATTTGTATTCGACAATACCCATGGCAGTTCGTCATTAAAATTAGCCGTATAAAAACATCACACAAAGCTAAAACCTCACGGAGCTTAAATAGCAGATGATACTCTGGAGAGAACACCTGGAGCAACATAATTAAAAGCACAATATGATGGCTAAATACGATGCTGCCCACCTGAAAATCATTTTGAAATTCTTTGTATAAGTAAGTTTACAGAGATTTTATTTTTGATGTTTTTATTTAGCATTAAAAGTGGACCTAGGTTCAAATCCTGACATAACATATAATATATGATATACATGATAAATAATATGTTATCTAATAAATATTATTAAATGTCTATATTACGTTGATAAAATATATAATGTCTATGTTATATTGATAAAATACGATATTCAAAAGTTTGGGGCAAGTAAATTTTTTATGCTTTTAATAGAAGTCTCCTGTGCTAACCAAGGTTACAGTTATTTGATTAAAAATAAAGTAAAAAGTATGACTGTTACATATCATTACAATTTAAAAGAGCTGTTTTCTGTTTTAATATGTTTCAAAATGCAATTTTTTCCCATGACGCCAAAGCTGAATAATTCTAATATGCTGATTTGTTGCTCAAGAAACATTGCTTACTTATTATTATTATTATTATTATTATTATTATTATCAATGTTGAAAACAGATGTGCTGCTTAATATTTTTGTGGAAACTGTGATACATTTGTTCAGGATTATTTGATGAACAGAAAGTTCAAAAGAACAGCATTTCTGGAAAATCTCTATGGAAAACAGCATCTTTGATATTTTGTCTATTAAACAAATACAAGCTTAAAACGAAAGAAATACAAGTTAAAAACGATAAAAGAGCAAATGATCTGCAGTAGGTATAACTTAATTGAATTAATTAATTGAATTAAAAAATTGAATACATTTTTAGAATTTAATATTAATTAAGATACATTAATATTAGTACATATATTATTAGTACATATATAATATTAACAAAGATTAATACATGTGAATGAGGTTTAGACAAACACTTTTTTTTAACCTACAATAATCAACTTATTTTCAAAGATTTAAGATCTGCTTGGCTCACAAATCTGTGGTGTATTGCGCATGACACACCTGGAGGTGTATTACAGAACAAATGTGGGTCACATATGACTTGAATAAAGGCAAACTGACAGTAATTAACTAGTTTATAGACCCATAGTCTCAAGAGCAGTTGAGTGTGTGTGGAAAATCTCTGCCTATAACACTCTCATCTGTCCTCAAGTGTGCCTGCTGGGAAAATGATGTCTCATCCAGTTCAATCAGAGAGGGATCTATTAGCACCTGAGACGTGATCGTCTGTGGATTTGTGTGTGCGTTTACCCTCGGCCATCCTCAAGGCTTCCTGTTAGCTGAGCGAAGTTCATTTGGTCTAGTCTGAGACTGCGGGGGGAGGAAGGGGGCGACGTCTCACACTTGATGGTGGTCTTGTCCTCTCGGGCCTCCACAGGGGACTGGGACAAAAACACAAACAAAATCAGCTCGATATCACCTCACGCAAAAAACTAATTACATTACCCTCATATCCCTGAACACAAACTCATTAATACTTAGTCACTTACAAATAAACACACACTTTCATATTAAGTTCATATTTTTCATCCTCACTATCTAATGCACACACACTGAATTAGCACAAGCAAGTCAATCTTCGGTGAAGTCATTAAAAGATGTAGAGACACTTACAGCCACTCGCCTGCGATGTTTCCTTAAATCACTAGGCTGAAGTGTTAGCAGGAAGAAAGAGACAAAGGAAAATGCAAGGTGACAGATGATTTAGTGCTGTCAGTCTTAGAAAAAGGCGATTTAACAGGGTTAACACAACATAAAAGCATTGCAATGTGAAGCAAGGATCACCAGGGTCATGATGCCCAATTTGTGGGCCGCTGAACCGGATGTCAGTTTGGGTGTGGATCGGCCACTAACAGGAGGCGATGAACTGGCCAGAGAGAGGGCGGTGACGGAGGTGGGGATGGAGGAGCGTGGTCGCAGTGTCACGTTGAGGCCATCCATGCTGCCGCTGTTCACCCGACTCTCAATCTCATCTGCCCGGAGCTCCGCTGATTCCCTCTCTACCTGGATCATTCTGGAACAGAAGGAAAGAGAGACTCAGCACCTGGATGGCAAGAATTGCATCGATTCACTTCAGAAGACATTTATTCACCCCCCGGAGGCATGTGGAGCACTTTTTATGATGGATGGATGCACTTTATTTTGCTTCAAAATCTCGACCCCCATTCACTGCCATTATAAAGCATGGAAGAGCCAGGACATTTTTAATATAACTCTGATTGTATTCGTCTGAAAGAACAAAGTCATACACACCTAGGATGGCTTAAGGGTGAGTAAATCATGGGGTAATTTTCATTTTTGGGTGAACTATCCCTTTAAAAGTCCTACATAAAACACATACCCAAATCCCCAGACAGTACATTCTCTCTGCAGAATACACTACAAATCAAAGCCAAACTCGAATCATAAGGGTTTCTGAAGAGCAGTAGGCACATCTGCGATCCTGCAATTGTACAATCCTTAAAAGTTTTACTTTTAAATAATGTAATGGATTAAAACATGTGACACACTCAATTGTATGCCTTATTTAAGTGCATAATGTGTAACCATGAATGGCTATGTATATAATATATACTACATACTATACAGTATACTATACACTATACATTATATTATAATGGTGGCTAGAATTAATTGTGAAACCAAAAATGTATTACTAATAGCTTTATAGTGCATTATGTATTCAGCCTTCAAAGAAAATGAAGGCTGAAAATGACTCCTCTTGATATATGTTAATATTCATGCAGTGGAAGCATATTCTGTTGAACCCTCATGAGTTTAAGCCACAGCTCAGGTCGTGAGTCATCGCTATCTGCACAATGCTGCACATTTCAGGTGATAGCCCTGCTATTGTCTGGCATTTATATTCATCCACAACTCAGAATCAATCTGTGTGATGGGCATATTCAACTTACAGACTCACAAATATTGTCATATATGACAGATGGTTTGTACCGCCAGCGCTTTGTGCTGCTGAAAGGAATCCAGACAGCTCGGTATCAGGACAAGCTTCAGAGCACTGTTTGGATTTAGACTGAAGTTTTTGGCCTGCCTGACAGTTTCTGTTACCGTTCTTGTTATTGTTATATCTGCGGGCCGCCAGAGCACAGAGCCACGCATGTGCTCTTTTAGTCTGCATGCATGCCCTAAGTCATTCTGAAAACGAAAAAAGGTCATTGAGTTTGAGAAGAAAGTTGGCTCTGGCTGCAACTGGCCACACATCTGAAGACTGTATTCAACAAACCATGTGTTTAGAGCACAAGCTCGGATCAATAAGACAAATGAATGTGACATTTTAAGGATCTAAGCTGATAATGCCTGAGGCAGATGATTAGATTTCACGCAAGTCACGAGATATGTCAGATTAGAAGCATTCATATACTTAAGCAAGTACTGTACAGGTGCATCTCAATAAATTAGAATGTCGTGGAAAAGTTCATTTATTTCAGTAATTCAACCCTGAACTGTTAAAGGGCTTTTCTACTATTTTAAGAGGATGTTTAAGCTGGCAGTAGTTAAAGGGTTAATATACAACACTTTTGTAGCAAATTATAATTTCCTTATAATGTTAGTCAAGGTTTCATCAACCAAAAAAATAAAAAATAAAAAAATAAATTAAACAGCCTATTATAGCAACTGTACCTTTAAGACTTATGCAAATTATTTCTGCTGAATGGCTAGTGTCTTCACAAGTTAAATGAGTAACAACACCCTCATCATAACAATGAATAATTAATAGTTTTTGATAAATAAATATGGGCGGTCACATGTTAATGTGTTGATAGTTCTGACATCATAACTATGATGCACTCTGAATGACCCATTTTTGCTGCTTAGTTAGCACTTAGTCATAAACTGTACGCTTCAACAGTTATAAACAGATTTTTGAACAAAATGTGAGTGGCACTAATTCATGCAAAAATTGCTGTCACAATGCTGGTTGTCAGGCTGTTGCTGTACAGCTGCTAAAACAAAAAACAAAAACAGATTTCCATATTATGTCACTTTTAATAATCTATATCCAAACCTGATCTCTTCATTGATGGCATCTAGCTGTTCTTGTAGCATGAGGGCAAGCGTCTGGGCGTCTGAGTGCCCGCTGGGGGACAGCATATCGGCTGAGCTGAATATGGTCTCGCGGTCTTCATCGTCCAGGTCAGACAGCTCAGTGTCGCTTCCCATCAGGTGAGTACGGCTGGCCCGCAAGCTGGAAGGCTGAGAGCGATCCCAATCCTGCTCCACCATCGGCAGGATCTGGGAATAAAGACACGGATCAGGGCTCAAACTGTTATTTTGAGGAATTTACAAATCAGGTTTCCAGATATTAGTGTTTCAGTAAGATCCGATTTGCTCTAAACATTATTATTGTGAATTAGAGAACCCGGAACTTACATTGAACACATCCAACGAGGCAAAAGAAAAGAATAGAGAGGAATTAATACAGAACAAGGCCAAGGTTAGCAGTGACTTCATGTTTAAGACACTAACAGATGGAGATGTACAGTAAGTGTGACATTGACACCTTCGTGGGTTCATCCCTGAGTGCCACCAGTCGACCTTTCTGAGCCCGTCGTATGACCCCTGTGGAGGAGTAGTGATCCCCCTGACCTTCCACCACTGAGAAGCGCAGGTCTGTGGCACTGCCAACATGAGACCTAAGACAGGGTCAACAGAGAGAGGCAGATAAAGAGGCTCAGACACCTTATCTAGCACACGCTTACAGCAATATCACTTTTAATGAGCAAATTAAAATAGGGCTCATATTTTAGTATATTTATATAACAAAATACTATCATGGTTTTAAATCTGGATGTCACCTAGGATGTGTTCCGTCTCCAAATGCCCCGCTCCTGCGCTTCAGATGATCGAGTTCAGCCCGTAACTTCTCAATCTCACTAATAAGCCTCTCCTAAACAACCAGAAAAAAAAAACACTTGAATAGTCAAGCAATCTCGAATCAATATAAGTCTTTTAGAATTATGAAAATCACTTTTATGAACTCAAATGAATTGAGACCAATATAAATTTTTTAAAAGAAATTAATACTTTATTCTACAATGACGAATTAAATTGATCAGTGAGAGTAAATACATCTATAATGTTACAAAAGATTTCTATTTTCGAGAAAAAAAAAAAAAAAAAGCTGTTTTTTGGAACTTTCTATGCATCAAAAAATCCTGAAAAATATTAACACAAAAATATCAGGTGGCACAATTGTTTTCAACAATGATAATAATAAGAAATGTTTCTTGAGCACCAAATCAGTATATTAGAATGATTTCTGAAGGATCACGTGACACTGAACACTGGAGTAATGAATTCAGCTTTACCATCACAGAAATGACAAAACTGAAATATTCAAGGCCACAAGCTGTTTAAAAATAATGAAAAACATAAAAATGGTGACCATTCACAGGATATATATACACTTCTTTATACATTCATATAAATATCTTAACTTAAAATCTTGATGTTAATTAAGAAAGGTCCATGGGCACGTTATGCTCCTCAGTTATCTCTTCCACAAAGCCATTTGCACAGCACTCTTTTGTCACTTAATATTTTATTTTGGTGCGTCAGTCTATTAAATTACTTAGTATATAAAGCCATGATCTGCACTCAACAAAAACTGTCTTTTTGCATTTTGTTCTATCTTCAGTTATCTCTTGAAATTTTAACACTGTTGCTCTTGCCCTGCAGATCTATAATGAGCAGATATTAATGAGCAGTGGTACTGTACCTTGTTGTGATGGAACTCTTCCAGTTGTTTTTGGGAATTCTCCAGGTCATGGATGAGTGCATTCTTGATGGGGGAACAAGGAAAAAAAGACAAACAAAACAAAGTTGAGGCCTGATAAGTTATAACCTGCACATTCTCTCTCTCTACATGTGGTGCCTCAGCTGTTACCTTTTGAAACTTAAAAGGGTTCAATTTGAGCAGGTGATTTTACCATCGCTGTCATCATCAGAGCTCACTTCCACAGTACATTCAGCATCTGCCTCATATTCACGATCTCAACCATATTCTCAAAACTATCGTTTTCAATGACTTCATATTCAATATTTTGATCACTGCCAGCTTATTCACTACATCCAGCATCAAATGACAGTGACATTTATATTTCTCTATAATGAGCAGATATTAATGAGCAGTGGTACTGTACCTTGTTGTGATGGAACTCTTCCAGTTGTTTTTGGGAATTCTCCAGGTCATGGATGAGTGCATTCTTGATGGGGGAACAAGGAAAAAAAGACAAACAAAACAAAGTTGAGGCCTGATAAGTTATAACCTGCACATTCTCTCTCTCTACATGTGGTGCCTCAGCCTGTCAGCACATCTGGCCACTCATTCTGTGTCAGTCTGTTCTGTCCTCTCATCTTACAGCCCAAAAGAGAAAAGAACTGGGTTCTATTCATACAAGCTGAATAGGGAGCCTTTTTATCTCTGTTTTTAACAAGCTATTTCCAGAATATGGCCGTGCATTCTCTAAGATGAAGGCAGACTATAAATATGGACATAAATATAAATATATATTATTTTAATATTTTAAATAATTAATTTATAATTTAAATAATTTCTTAAGATTAATGTGCATTAAGAAAACAAATCAACATTTATTTTTTATAAATAAAACAATAATAGATTATTTAAATAATTTGTAAAATGAATGCGCATTCAATATTCTATATTTATTTAAAAAAATTTTTTTAATAAAGTTTATTTTTCTTAGTAATTATGTTCATTAAGAAAAGGAAAAAAAAAAAACTATAATAAAAAAAAACTATCTGCCAATGTGGAAAAAATGTAGTAATTAAAAATATAATTATTAAAATTATTTTCTGAAAACAGCTCTTAATATCTTTATTAAGAGCTATATATATATATATATATATATATATATTTTTTTTTTCAGT